ATCATCCATTCATCGTCCATTCATCATCCATTCATCATCCATTCATCATCCATTCATCGTCCATTCATCATCCATTCATCGTCCATTCATCGTCCATTCATCATCCATTCTCCATCCATCCATTCATATGTTGAATGGATGGATAAATCAATGGATGAATGGATGGATGGACAATTTTGTGGACTTATGACCGCTAGCCGAGTCCCCCAAGAACAGTAATATGTTGCAAATATGAAGAACAGTCATCGTGTTAAAATAAATTAATTTACGGTCCAAAAAAATGGTCCAAAGAATCTTAAAATTTCCTTAGGAAAATAAAACAACTACAGTAGCCTACATTCCATGTAGTGCTAATAAGAATTATCATAATGTTCCTGCTCCAGTCTGTGACCTATATACCTATATATTGTTTTACAATAAATTGTACATAAATCAAAAGATCAGGTTTTCCATGACTCTTGGAGTCATTTTCCTGCAAAACTAATTATTTAGCCAGTCTTTTGGCGGTGTAAATAAAATAAAAAATAGGTTAGAAATGGTCATTTTAAGCACGGAAACACGGACCCCGAAATTTTAATTTTTAATTTCAAACTGCAAATGGGAATCAGCTAGTTTTGAGCCCAATGCAATTTTAAGCTATTATGAACATATACCTTACTATGATAAATCAGTTTGGACCACCCTATTAAATATATCAAGTCGTGAAGAACAGGACGAAGTGAGACGAAGTGAAGCGAAGCTCTGTGGTCTTAATTATATACTGTCAAAGATGCATAGGTTATTTTGAGGGTGGTTCACGTAAACCGCATATGCCACGTTGTAGAGGGATTCAAAATGACACAATTTCGGTGGTCGAACAAACACGGGCTCAGAAGTTAGACCCACTCTTAAACTTCAAAATTTTGTATGGGTAGACCCACCCAGATCTGGTGGCTATAATTCTCAATCTCTCTTTTGAGCGAGAATGAGATCACTTGGGCGTGTCATATGAGTGATATGAACCTTTTCAAATATTGAATTCATAAGAAAAATATCGTTATAAAGCGTAAGTTAATGAAGCTACAATTCATGTTTCGTTTTTAAGAAACAAAGTTTTATGCTCACCGAACCATTTGTTTCGGACAGTTTAGTATGATTTTTGGAAAGTTGAGTACGATTTTTGTATTTTTTTAGTACGATTTTTGGAAATTTGCGTACAATTTTCGGAAAGTTTAGTACGATTTTCGGAAAGTTGAGTACGATTTTAGTTTTACCCATACTTATTTAATTGGTTTTAGCACAAGTGCAAATAGTGTTGAACGGAGAATTACTGAATATTTTTAAAGGAATAGATTAAATCCATGTATGGAGAGAGTAGTCAATTTAATACAAATATAGCCATTTGAACGATGTAACATAAAGTAAATATATAAAAGAATATTTATATCAAATAAACCACTTCTGGCGAAGAAACGCTGTATGGTGCAGTATTCTCATTATTATTATAATGATAATAATAATAATAATGATACAAAATACAAATACGGTGATTTCATTTTCAAGCAAGTATCGGACCATAATGATCTCGACGTCACCATTGACCAGAAGCTCAACTTTGTCAAGCATATAGAATAATATAAAAAAATTAAAATCCGTTCAGTGGCTCAAAAGTTATGGCTAAATTCCGAATTGCCCTCTTAAATTGGCGCACAAAATCGAATCGGAAATAGCGCCTTTCTTATATATTTTACTTTTCCTACACAACGTGTCAAGGGAAAGTATAGGAATTGGTCCCGAAAACTTTTTTCGCAAAATTAGCTTAGATCATCATAAAAACTCATGAAACGCGTAGAAAACCACTTTTTGAGACACTTTTCCGTTCGTGTGCCGTCGTTGTCGTCGTTGTCGTTGTCGTCGTTGGTGTTTGTTAACACGATAACTCAAAAAATAATTGAGATAATCAAAATCTGGAAATGCCAAAAGTTTTGTATTTGAAAAACTTAGTTTAAGTTCGAAGATGAGCCATTTTCGATTTGATCCTGGGGTACTTGCCCTAAGAAAAACCTCAAAAAATTGACACTTTTGTATGGGAGGTACCTTTAAATCGACTCCGATTGGCCTCAAACTTTCTGGGAATCCATTTTTTGAGAGAAAAATAATATTCTGAAATTTTGAAACCAATCGGAATCGATTTACGGGTACCTCCCATACAAATTTTCTGAAATTTTGACTAAAATTACCGATTTTTGGATAAAAAATGAAACCTCAGAAAGTTTAAAGCCAATGAGAATCGATTAACGGGTACCTCCCATACAAAATTGTCGAAGTTTTAGTTAAAGTGACCGATTTTTCACTTTATTTTTATTATTATATTTTCACTGCCTGTATTTAATTATTTTCAAGAAAATTCACAAAAAATAACCAAAAGTACCTACAGACAACGCAGGACAACGGTACGGAAAAGTTCGGGATTACCAATGTAATTCTTTTTATTTTTAATGAAGAAAAACCGAACAGTCGAAAAAGCAAATATTCGCTCCGTCAGAGAAACAACTTTGCGTTCAACATGATTAAAATGGGAGGACTAAATTTGGGAAATCCTAATTTTCTGCCAATTTCAGGGAAATTGTGGAAAATCTTCACAAATATTAGTCCAATTTGGATTTGATTCACAAAACACAATTTTTTATCATGAATGAGCGAATAATTTCGAACATTATATTTAGCAAAGTTATTCTACAAAGATAGAGCTAACATTTTGCTAAAGACCTGAAATTGATACCTCTTACTCAGTTCGGGTTATAGACCATGAAACGTCTGGGTCTCCCGTTACCCGCTAACAACACAAGTGTATGTTTTTTCTACCAACATTCAAGTTTTGAAATTCAAATCAATTTTTGTTGTTATATCCTGTCACATACATTTAGTAATGACAATGAATATATGTTTTCAACTATGAAGTTGGCTATGAATCCCACAACTATGTGGCGTTTTGAATGTCACAACTTTTTTTGATAATTTTTTTTTCTGCACTGAATATCATAACACATCAGTATCAGTACTTTCCAGAGTTGAAATCATTTTCTTAACTAATTGTTCAGAAATCTTATTAAAATGGTTAAAATTGGTCTCCAAATACGTGCCACGTTAGAAAATATTGACGAAATAAAAACAAACCATCCAAACTATTCATTTTTTTTTAAATTGAAATGTTCGAACTGTGGCGAACAATCAGAGAAGTGGCATGATTTAACTGAAAATGAAAAACAACACGAAAATTCACGCAATCCAAATGGTTTCAACTTTTTTATGAAATGTAAATTATGTTCTCGTGAAAATTCTATTGATATTATCGAAGGAACAAATGGTACAGTAGAGTGTTTTTCAAATTTGGAAAAGAAAAAGCTAAAATATTTTGTAATTAATTATTTCATCATATCTTAGACGCATACACAGCAGACGATTCCGGCAAATTCAAAGTAGTAGTTTGTCTTGATTGTCGTGGTGTGGAGCCTGTGGACTTTTCGCCAAAAGCTGGTTGGTATTTCTTTTATTTTGCAGATACATTTACTATAAAATTTGGAATTTATTTCTATAAATTTATTCTCTTTAAAGGCTGGTTAGTCAAGGCAGCTGACAATGGGCAAGCATTTGAAGATGTAGACTTATCGGAAGACGATTGGGTTGAATATGACAACAAAAATAAAGTCTCTATTGGCATTTACGAATTCGAATCAAATTTCATTAAACTAAAAAAATAAAAGTTATTTTACTGGATATTTTATACATCCAATTATTGCGAAAATCGACTTTGTTCTTTTACTTATTTTAAGCAATAAAGCTGTATGTTCAAGTTTCTTGATGAAGTTCAACAATGTTATGGAGGCAATTGACATGATGGAGGCGCTGTTGTCTGTTAATATACAGACGTAAAAAAAGAAGTACGTGCGCGTATGTGTGCATGAATATGTATGAAAAATCCAGCAGTAAAGAAGAGAACAAGAGAAAATAACACCAATTACTCTAGAGCTGCCGCACACAGAGTTCGTTGTGAAGAAAACACACAAACACCAATTAAGTATTGTTCATTCGACAGTAACAGAACGACAGTACAATTGCAAAATAAATACAGAATTGTGCTCGCTTCTCAAAGTTACTTTGCATTTCGTTATTTTTGTGATTGTTTTCATTTGTGACGCCTTCTTTTATCGGCGAACGATGTAAATATTGGAATTTTCTCTGAATATATTTATACTTATATATGCATAATGTTGCTATGAAAAATATTATCAGAATATATGATAAAATAAAAGTGAAATGTACCTGAGTGATGCTAAATATTGTTACGTATTGGATGAATGAACATTTAAAACCTAAAAAAAGTAACTAAAAAAGTAATAAATGTTAGTCTGAAAATGTAGTGATTAGCTAACTAAATTCTAATAGTCAACGAACTCAGAAGAAACTAAAAACAAACAATCGGTTCAAAAGAGATTGATTCCCAGATGTTGACGTATGAAAAAATAGCTAATAAACTGTTTCATATTAAGCAAGTGATGTATTCTTAATGGAACGTTTTATGTCGATACAAAAAAATACAATTTATTTTCAGTAGCTTTATATTCAAGCTTCACATTCACAAACGATACATGAAATGTGCGACACGATGACCACATTTTGGGTAGGTCAGTTCCATAGAAAGTTCTACAAATTAAAATGCATACAAAAAAAAATAATTTAAAAGTCAGTTTAACTCAAAACGAACAAATTTTTCGGAATCTCAGTGTTAAGTCTGTGCAGGTTTTGGTGTATAGTCATAGTGGGCGCAGTGGTTGAGTGTTGATGTTATTGAAAAAGAAAAAAACACCGTCCTTATTATATGGAACCAGTAAACACCAAACTATAATTATTCCAAATCGGTACAATGTTGGCTTAAAATTATATTGAAATAGTGAAAAGTTTCTTGTTCTTTAACGCACAAGCGAAACAACTTTGTACTAAAAAGCACAATTGCTGTAACACAAATACATTATCAAATATAATTAATATCCATACGCTGCGTATTATTAATAAAAATAATTTTCTAAAATGTAAAACGGAAGTAATAATTCATTAGATTCATTTGAATATTATACAAAACAATCTTCGTAAGCAGTTCAATGGAAACAGTGGTTATCAGTCACAGTGCGCCATCTACAAAAATGTATACAGTTTTATTTTACTATCCCGCTATTTTCAAGTTAAATTGCATTTTTCAATGATTTTTTATGGTTAGAAGGGTGATTCATAATCAGGGCAACCCAAAATATTTATGAAATAGCTCAAATTTATTTATTTATTTATGCACGATAAAACAGCGAAATATTTACGAAAAATGATCGAAATATTTACACTAAAGCTGCAAATGTTCAGAATATTTACAGAAAAAATTTCAAACATATTTGAAAAAAAATCGAAAAGCAACAAAATTCCAATTTTCCGAACAAAAAAAATTAGATAAATAAAATCGCCACTATAGTCTCAGTCAGAAGATGTCAAATTTTTGTTTATAAAAACTTCCAAATCTGTTTTCGTCCAAAATTCTGAAATTCGAATTTTGTCCAAAATATTTTGAAATTCGTCCAAAATATTTCATGAAACTGTCCAAAATATTCATTAAAAAAATCCCAAAATATTCGTGAAATTATCCATAATTTGCAACGAATTATTATTTATTTATTTATTGACAAAAAAGCCAGAAACCCTGAAATATTTTCAAAGAGCTCAAAAATTAACAGTCTTGCACTCTTTTCCGACCAAAACTCGATCCATAACCCTATTATATTCAGCTTGTATCAAAAATTAAAAAAAAATGATGAATATTGGTTTACCATTAGAAAATGCTACAATATTTATTTAAGTATTTTTTATTTACAATTTTCATTTAAGTCAACACAGTGAAGCGCAATGTTAATATATTCAGCAAATCCAAACCCTTTCAGAGTTCAGTTTGCATTGCTTTTGTCCCTATCCGAAGTTCACTAACTTTATTCATAAATGACGTTTAAAATGTCATTTATGACAAATGCCATTTCCAACATTTGGGTAAACCTTATGAAGAAAACGTTTACTTGTATTTCCACGAAGGGCTTGCGACGCCTGAAATACGGCATTATTTTCATATATTTCTATATTTCCGTCATATTCCGTCATATTTCAAATATTTGATATATTCAAGGCATATTTCCGCTACATGTTTGACGTTTTTTGGTATTACCCGATATTATTGTGACTATTTCTGTTCGAAATATTCCTCTCAATTTTCAAATATGCAAAATATTTGAAATATAGCCGACATATTTGGCTCCGAAGAAATATACGAAATATCAAGATGCATTTTGTGATCAAATAACGCTTCAATATTTGAAATATTTGACGTATTTGAATATATTTGGAAATATTTCACGTATATTTGTTCGTCACAAGCCCTTTGTATTTCCATGTAATCCGTATAAATGCCGTTAGAGCATTGATCGCTGAAAATGTTTCATTTACACTTTGTTGATTTAAGTATCTTTTATTTATATGAATATTTTTGGTTGCCCTGCTGTAATGTTTAGAATTGAGTTACCTTAATCTTTTTTTACATAGGGGAGAGGGGGGCTATTCGGATCATTTTTTGGAAATCAGCCATATCGTCTTGAAAATGATCACGGATCGCCACATTTCATATATGGTTGGGAAGCTATTCTCCTAAGCTATCTTTAACATAAATAAACTTTTTGTGTTGGATGTCCTTGTAGTGAGATATGAGCCTATATTGCGACGACCTCACATGGGGGCTATTCGGTACATGTGGGGGTTATTCGGTACATGCACAGAGAAAACATAACCTCTAAATGTCATCGCAAACCGGGATAAAGCATATATTTAATGGTGCTGACATCTACTTTTGCGATAAATTCTATCACATTTGTGTATGTCAACACCATTAAATGTATTGTATATCCCGGTTTGCGATAGGGTTTAACGAAATGCCAAAAATTTCTTTTCTGTGTGTGTGGGGGTTATTCGGATCACCCAAATTTTGTCGCGTGTTTAGTATCTATACCTATAGGAATGCTCACCCAAACAGTATTTCTAGGAATTTGAGTTTATTTTCTGATATTTCACTACAATTTTGATGCGAATAGGTGCTTTACAAAGACAACACAAAATTCGAAATTTTGTGACGACGAAATATTTCGGCAAACGACTTCAAAATACAACTTCGCTGATTCGCGGCACACAGCCACACGTGTGCAAGGTGGGTGTTCCGGTTTTACCCCCCCCCCTCTAGGATTCCAAAATGTGGACCCCCCAGCGATTTGGAAAATTTGACACTAGATATAATCGATTTTCAGAAGTGAGGACCTTTTTTTTAGGTCTTCATTTTTTTCACCTATTTTTAAATTTCCATACCCCCCTGGCGAGATCATTTTAACGCCCCCCCCCCTTGAATTTTTGACCTTGCACACGTCTGCACACAGTCCACTGAATATATAACAACACATTTAATGGCAATTCTACGTGTCATGGTGTCTGTACCATTTTGGAGATATGTCGAGTGATTCGAATAGCCCCCTTCTCCCCTACAATTTATGAGTGACTAGTGATTGGAACAATCAGCTAATTGGAGACATTTTGAGCATATTTCTAACGTATTATGATACCATGAGGTAGAACACAAATAGCAAACGCGTAAAGAATTGACAAAATAATCAAAATTGCGAAATTAGCGAAAAATATCATTTGATGTTACTTTTTCAATTTTTGGTACTTTCTTGTCTTTTCAAAAAAATTAGACACTCCGAAATCGCTTCAATTCAATGAATTACGTATAAAATACCTATAATAAAACGTAATCTGATAGCAATACATTGCTTCTTATGGAGGTTGAATGGATGGATTTTTGTAAGAGCGCCTCTAGTGAAAATATCTTAGAATGATGGAATATTTCGAACTTTAATACGCTTTTCTGCTAATTTATCCAAACTCACCTCTTAAGTGGTAAATTAAAACCAATAAAAATTTACACATCGAAATATCTCGAAAACGGCTGGGAAAATCGGCAAAATGGACCGTGGTGTCACTCCCTGAAGGGAGTGCAGACACCCGGCTGGTTTGATGGCCCAAAGCTCAAATCCAGTGGATTCGGGCTGATCCATGGGCTCTCAGGATTTGGTCTGATTCCCAGCTTTTCCTTTCCTGTGAGCATCTTTACAAGTCACACTCATGTTTTGTATGGAATTTCACCACAGGGCAAGTGCTGGGATCAGGCCAAATCCCGAGAACCCATGGATGAGCTCAAATCCACCGGGTTTGAACTTTGGGCCATCAAACCAGCCGGGTGTCTGCACTCCCTCCAGGGAGTGACACCACGGTCCATTTTGCCGATTTTCCCAGCCGTTTTTGAGATATTTTCATGTGTAGTTTAATGAGAAAGATATCCGCCATGACAGCATTTTGGCCCGCCATGTTGGTATTTTGGTTTATATTAACAGAACATTCTCTACTTTTACAGTCAACGTTTCTAAACGTAAACACAAATATGATCTGTCATAATCACATTCACCACTTCTAATATGCTTCAGAGAGCTTCTGACAGCGCCATCCATCCGAAGCGTTTGAAACATTAAAGGCTTTTGCTGATTTTTTCTGCCGCATTTTCATTCGAGCTATCGCCTTATGTAATAAAAAAATATGATGTGTTTGCGTTTTGTGAGATTTGCGTTTTCCGAGATTCTACTGTAAAAAATAATAAATTACACTGACCAACTTCATCAATTCGATGAAGTTGCTTGAAATTTATAGAAATTCCGATACGTACAAAAATCCAATCATAATGTCCCAAAATGATCCACAGAGAATATAAACAACGCATCAAATTGGTTTCATACGTAATACATGTAATACAACAACAACTCTATGTAGAAAAAACGCTTTGTTTCGTTTTCTTTGGAACTTACGCTGTTTTTATTCCCACCGATTCAAATATATTTGATACTATAAAATGGTAGTCAATATTTTTGCACAAGGGATATGATAATGTTTATATAAATATCTAATATATTCACTAACTTGACAAAATTTTCTGTTTTCAATTTCATTCTAGCAAATCAAATGTAAGACCTAGATTTTTTTGAACGAAAATTATGCCAATGTGAATCAGAAGAAACAACAATAAAAGAGTTTAAATTAATAACATCTACCACAGAAACTTAAAATCGAAGATTAAAATAAACACCATTTATCTCATTTATTTTTTTCGATAGACAGATAAATGTAATTCTAACGTATGTAGGCAATATAAATTAAGGGATACAAGGAATGATTGTTTCAAAGACAGCAATCTATTGATACAATTGAAATAAAAATTTTTTATTTAAAACACACGTTTTTTTTTATTTCGAGCTATCAAACACAGAATATGTGGGAAAATATGTTATTCTATAAAACTCAATGATATAATATTTTGGCAAATTAAAAAAAGCTTGAAAACGTTAAAACTATCTAACGGCGAACCACAATAATCCGTGTCTAAAAGTGTGCATATATAAATTCAACACAATTGAATAAATTACAGTAAATCAATTCATTATATTCATTCCAGAAATATCGTAGAAAATCTTGATTATTCAAATATGAGAAAGAATCGAAAATCAAAGAGTAAAACATAACATGAAATAATGTGAGTAGACTGAAATTGGTCGTTGGTCTGGAAATTAGGCATATATAGTGATTGTTTTTAGAGGAAATATTGTGTTAAAAGTATGTAGGAGAAGTATTTGATGGCAGTCATAACGAAAGCAGTAGTTTCAAATTAACGTGTAAATTGAAAAAATAGATTTTGTGCAATGGGTTCATGGGCACAAAGAATGCATAGACGTGCTGCTAGTGTTGTTACGTGTGGTCATCCTGGTGGTGTGCCGTATCCACACAGATTAGAAAAGGTGAAAAATCAAGAATATTAACATATTATAGGAAATTGAAAAATATATTGTCAATTGTATTAATAGGTGAAGTTCGGAGTGAATTTGGATGAAGTTTGCAAGCCAGAATATCCCAGTATCCCTGGACCTTTACTAGTACTCATTTTGAAACTCAATAAAGAAGCTCCTCTCCGTAAAGATGTTTTCCGCGCTCCAGGCCACCAAGGTGCCATTAAAAAATATAAATGTGAATTGAATATGATGAACATTAAAATATTTTCATTTTCGCAGGTGCTATGAAAAAATTAATACATTTTTTACAAGCTGGCCGATTGGTAAATGTCGACAACTATTCCGTATACACCATAGCTAGTGTGTTGAAAAAATTCCTGCGAAAATTACCAAATGGTATTTTTGGACGAGAAGTTGAAACTGAACTATTTCGAATAATCGAAATAGAAGACGAACTTGAGAAGCAAACAAGAATTCATAGGTAAGAAAATCCGATTTTTATGACAAAAACGTTTATGAGCCATGAACATAATCCAAATTGAGTTGGAGCATTTCCAAGTTGTAGACTTAGAAAATCGGGTTTCTCCCAAGACTAGTATTCAGTTGCGAAATACGGGATGAATTCAGTTGGATGATGAATGGGAAACGGTGATTGGGGCCCATAAGAAAATAACTTTGAACGAAATTTTGTATTTTATTAACACCGCAAAAAAACTGGCTGAATCTTTAGTTTTGCAGAAAAATGACGCCAAGAATCATGATTTTATACAATTTAGGGTATTACAATAGATAGTTTGATGTTACATAAATATTGGTTCTCAACTAGTCAAAAGGATAACCTAATTTATGAATGAGCGAAAGACCAAACATGAAAATATCCAATTGTCCAATGGAAGTCGATTGTCAACGGTTCAGGATAATCTATTTACACGTGTGAAAAAAGATAGACTAACTGGAGCGGAAAACATATTAATGTCGACCTGACTGCAAAATTCATCGTTCAATTTATCTACAGACGGGCGAATTCGCGAGTATATACTCTCATACTCACTCATTTTGAAAATGAGTATGTCTCGACATACTCTCATACTCATAGATACTCTTTGATTTTGAGTATATCTAGACATATGTACTCGATTTTCGACTCATTACCGTTACATTGTACAATTTACATCGAATGTAAAAGGTACTAACTTCGTTTTTTTTCGCCACGGGGGTCCATAACTTTAGTTTTTTTAATTCCAAAACAGGTTCTGTTTTTATGTTTAATTATTATTCCCGTTTACCTTTAGGTTTCTAGTCATTAGCATTGAAACTGTTCATTTATTCATATTAATGATGAGAAACGTCCAATCTGGCGGACGAAAGTGTCTGGCGGCACCATATATGGCTAGACCCCGCATCGGGTTTTTCAGTGAATTCGGGAATTTTTTGATGGAAATTCGGGAAAATTTGTTTTAAGGAAAATCTGGAAAAAACGGGAAAATCGGGAATTTGAGAGCAAAAATCGGAAAAATTCAACACATTGATTTTGTTTTACAAAGTAATATATTGCGATGATATTAATATAATTATTATGGTGCATTGCAAAAAATATATGACCAGCAATAACGATTAATTTATCGAAATCAATTTCTTAGCTTACACAGTAGTTTTTATTCATAGCGGCCAGATATATAAACATAGCCGAACATTTTGTTTAGAGAAAGCAAAAAAGTCGAATTCAAAGAATTAATCATGATTGCTGGTTCACCAAAAACAAAAATCGATTGTATATTTCTCAGCTGATTCGATAGCGAGTATTAGTCATGTTTTTTTTAACGAACCAAAATAAATACGCTTGTAAATTAATTTTTCTGGTACAAAAGTCGTACTTTTGAAGATGATACGAATTCTCGGGAAAATCTACGTAAAAAGGTTAAAGATGCGGGATTCGGGATGAGAGTGGAAAATTTGGGATTTTCCGAAATTTCCCGCATTTTCCCGCCCGGATGCGGGGTCTATATATGGCACATCTGCTATGGCTTAGGTTTGGGCAATTGCATAAAAAATGAATTGCACTCTCTTCTCCCAGTCCACAGAAATCGCAATCTGGGTCATCTCTGACACCGATGCGACGAAGATATCCATTAAGCCTGATGTGGCCTGTCAGAATACCAGAGATTACACTTAGTTCCCTTTTATTTAGGCTGAGCAAATGTTTAGTTAATTTTTCACTGGGCGAAATAATAAACTGTTTAGTTTGAGAGCATGTGTTTGTGAAACGCCATCGCTCGGTCAAACTTTCCTGTAACCATCTATTGCATGATGATCTGCATTTCTTTTCTTTGATTGGTAGAAAAGGTTCTGTCCCAAGGACGTACATCTCTGAACCCCTTTTAGCAAAAGCGTCAGCTTTAATGTTTCCGGTGACATTCGAATGTGCTGGAGTCCATGAGACAGTTATGTGTCTTCTGGCTGAAATTTCCATTAAGAAACTTACACATTCTATAGCCAGTTTTGATTCTAGTTTATGTGCTCTCAGTACCTTCAGAGCTGAGGTGCTATCACTATGAATCACAACTGGCGAATTGCTGATGTTATCGTTTGCAATTTCAATACAACAGTTGAAAAATGCTGACAATTCAGCCTGTGCTATCTCAGTATTTTTACCAATATAACCACAGTACTCGGTGCCTGTATTTAATTTATAGATACCGTAGCCAGAACCATGTTGATTCACCGACGCATCAGTGAACCAGTGGTCAGAAAGCGGATCGATATGCTCGGAGTCCTCTAAGACAGTATTCACAGCAGGTAAACCACTGCGTAGGGTCTGTCGAAAAGGTAAATAGCCGAGCCATCGATGCTTCGAGAGATCGATCAAGCTCAAATAGTTTTTCAACTATGGAAGAGTGACCACTTACACGAAGGCATCGTTCGGAGATGGTTTTGTTAAGACGGAATGATGTCACGCGAGCTTCCATCTGTATGAAATTTTCCAGGGGAGGTAGATTGAACATTGTCTCCAGGGCAAGCTGAGGTGTTGTTTTAGCTACCCCCGTTATAGCAAGACAAGTCATCCTCTGGAGGTGAAACAACGATTTTCCTGCTCTGGCAGTGGTTGTTCCTTTCCACCACAGAAAGGCTCCGTATGATAACATCGGTCGGATAATCGCAGTGTGGAGCTAAAGTATATTTTGGGGGCTGAGACCCCAATTTCGACCAATGGCTCTTCTGCAACACCAGAATACTTTGACGCATTAGCTAATTCGGTATTCCAGGTGCGCTTTCCAATTCAAATTGGGAGTTAGTGTCAACCCAAGATATTTGACACTTTTCCTCTTCTGGATAGCTTTACCAACATTTTTTTGTTCTTTAAAGCCCTCCATTTTCCTATTATTTGTGAAAATCATGAGCTCTGATTTGGACGGGTTTACTGTCAACCCGACCTCTCTACACCAAGATTCGATAATTCTTAGTGCGCTTTGAGTGATTTCGCATAGGGTATTTAAAAATTTACCCTTGCAGATAACCACAAGATCGTCAGCGTAACCAATCACGGTGAAACCCTCGCTTTCCAAGCGGGAAATAAGTTCATCCATGACTAGAATCCATTAGGTAGGCGACAGTACACCCCCCTGAGGTGAACCTCTGGTAAGGGTTACGGTGGTCTTTCTTCCGTACGCCTCATAAGTGATAGCCCTTGACTTGAGAAGATGGTTGACCCATTTTCGTATAGGTATACACATGTTCCTTTTCTCAAGAGCTGTGTCAATCGCTTCAAAGGATACATTGTCAAAAGCGCCCTCTATGTCTAGAAAGGTGCATACGGCGTACTCTTTGTTTGATAGTAAATACTCGATGTCTGTGATGAGAGTATGTAAAGCTGTTTCAGTAGATTTGCCTTCCTGAAAAGCATGTTGTCTATCGGAAATCGGATAATTTCCAGAAATAAAATCCTTAATGTAGCGGTCAATGAGTTTTTCTATTGCTTTCAGTAGAAAGGATGTCAAACTGATTGGTCTGAAGGATTTCGGTATGGTGTAATCATCTTTACCCGGTTTGGGGATAAAAACGACGCGCACCCCTTGCCATGACTTCGGTATGTAGCCCAGATATAGTGAAGATTTGAAAATCGACACTAGTAGGTCACCAATGAGATGCCAAGACTTTTGTAACATCACTGGGTAGATTTCATCTAAAACTGGTGATTTGAATGGTTTAAAAGACATAATGGCCCATAGCACTCTA